TTTTCAGAACTCACAGAATAATCTTCTCCATCATTTTACCAGGCAGTGAAGTGAGACTGATAGGCCTGTAGTTTCCAGGGTCATCCTTCTTGCCCTTTTTGAACATTGAGACAGTCTTAGCCAGCTTCCAGTCAGCTGGGAGCTCCCCAGATACCCAAGACTGTTCAAAAATAATTGAGAGAGGCCTTGCAATGACATCAAACAGCTCTTTGAGTATTCTTGGATGAATGCCATCATAAAGCCAGATAGATACATGAGGATCCAGCTGGAGCAGCAGATCCCACACAAATTTGGGGTCAACTGGAAGTTTATCATTCTCCCTGCCATGGTCCTCCAGCTCTGGGCACTGGGGCCTTCTGGGCTCATCACCAGTGTGAAAGACACAGGCAAAGAAATCATTAAACATGTCACATGTGTCATGCCATGTAAGTGCACAATACATGCACGATATCAGACTCAGAATGGAAGTTCATCTAAATTACTCTGTCAAAACAGTGGTTTGTAGTCTCTCGAACTGTGCTTTGCCAGTTTAGGAACATACTCCTAAACTCCTAAGGTGACTGTGCTGCTCCTGGTACTGAAGCTATCCCTGTTGTCTCTGCATAGTTTTGTATTTTTCGCGCTTAAGTCCTTGACTCTGAATATGAGTCCATGTTTCTAGATATTGAAGTCCTTGTTTTAGTTGTTGTTAATAAGTGTTGATAGATGGGCAGACACTGCTGAATTCCCAGAATGGAATCCAAAACCCCTTGTATGCTTTCCACTACTGTAAGTCAGGGAATATGAATGTCATTGGTGTCCTCTGTGGACTGCTCCTCTTTTTGGATGACTTAGAAATCTTGCCATTTCTCAAGCTGTAAACTCTTGAATAGTAATGCTGCTCTAGTAGGGGTTTGTTTGTTGGTTCACAGCAAGGCAAATGCAGGAAGGAAAGCTGTACTGGAGCTCTGGTCTCTAAAAGTATTTTTACCTAACCACCTTTGGTTAGTTTGGACCTTCCTGTTTACTGTATTGCTGTGGAAAGCAGAGTGTTCTATCTTCTGTGCACTGTGTCTTCTGAGCACACAAGACCTTCAAAAATTTGCCTCCCCATTTAGAAAGAATCTTTGAAGTAAAAGTCCTGGCTTTCTACAGCATCTTAAATATAAGATTGGGGTAAATATAGCTGTTTTCTTTGAGTGCCAGAGATAATGGCTGTTTAGCTCCTTACTAATCCAAACCTCAGCAAAACAGAAAGGAGGCTTTGAAAAGAAGTTTCTATTCTACGGCTAGGTTGGAAGTTTGTCTTTTGAGGTACTTTGCTCCAGTTATGGCTCCAGTATATTCTAGTGGCTGGAGCAATTCTATTCATTGAAAAGAAACCATGAAACAGAAATGTTTGTATGTCTCCATGATATCACTTTGTGTGTGAAACCACCAAATAACAGGATTGTGGGGCCAAAGTGTGCACACAGGTCGGGCACACTACTCTGTGCTCACCAGTAGCCCAAATACTGATGCTCTGCATAGTTTAGAAGTATTTTTCTTAATGTTACAACATGCTGGGATCTGAAATCTAATCCTTGTAGGACAGTTTGATGTCATTTGCCTAAGGGTTTCTCCAGAAGAAATATGTGCATTGCTGTAGGAAGCAAAGGGTGTATTATATCAGTGATCTTTTAGTTTGTTCTCTGTATCCTGCTCATACTGGTTTTGAAATATTTTAATGATACTAATTTAGGAATGAAAGTAGTATCTTTGGTAAACTAATTGTCTCAGCAAGATGACACAAATGTTTCCTTCAACTTTTTCTGGCATTACCAACTTGAACAGCAACAAAAAGATTGGCTATGTTGGTCTCTGCTAACCCAGAGTAACTAATATAGAGTGGAAGGTTTGACAAGGCTGTTCATTCTTCTCTCTCACCCTAGAAAATGTAAATTTCTATTCAGTGATGCACGCAGGCTCTTTTGTGAAGAAATCAGTTTTAAGTGTAAAGTGACATAATTCAAGCACACATTTGAGTTCTAAAGCTCTCTTACACAGTATTAGAGAAAGTTTTCAGAGTATAAATAAATAAATATTTACTGGAATAGTTAGAGTTTCTAATAATTTGGGACAAAAGGACAAATAATCTCATGGGCGTTATTTCAGCTGTGGGACTGGTAGTTTCTTTAAAGGCACGGTAGTTAAGATCTTTTGTTTGACAAGCTACATGAAAATATTTTTCTGCTTGACTGTGACTAAAGAAGTGTGCTGTGAGTTAGGCATCTAAAGGGAAAAGATCCAGAGTAGCCCAAAAGCAGTTCCCAGGCAAGACATGGTAGTGGCAGCCTGAGTTGTCAGGCATGGCAGGAGGGAATATACTGTTGGCTTCCAGAGGGACCTACCAAGGTGTTTCCGTTTGGCTCTACATCCTGGAGTGTATTAGGTTACCATACAGGTCCTACTTGAATGGCTTGTGACCTGTATGCGCATCAGGGTGTCTGGCATTTGATTTTGCTTCGTTTATGCTTGTGATCCAAACAGGTCTTCAGATGCATATTTATACAAAGAGTTGCCTTTCCTCCCCATAGTAAATCCTGCCCTTTTTCTCTCATGCCTGAACTGCTAGAAGTCAAAGGGAGCATGGGCATCCACAGACCAGCCCTGTCCCTTAGGCTTGTTTAGATCTGGGGACCTTTTCATAAGACACTTAAAACTGTAGTTCACATTGGTCATTTGGCAGAATGGCCAAGCTGGCCCCAAACACTGTGTCATGAATCTATGTACACTTGTCCACATAACACATATCCTTCTTCTTCCTATAGAGCTCTTTATTCTCGCCTTAGAATCATAACCAGAGAGTCATAAGGCTGGAAAACACCCTTAAGATCATCAAGTCCACCACTAAACTATTTACCTAAGCTTCATTTCTCCACATCTTTTAAGTACCTCCACGGATGGGGGCTCAACTGCTTCCCTGGGCAGCCTGTTCCAATGCTTGACAAACCTTTTGGTGAAAAAATTACTCTTAATACCCAGTCTAAACTTTCCCTGGCACAACTTGATGCCATTTCCTCTTGCCCTGTGTTTTGCTACTTGGGAAAAGAGGCCAATCCCCACCTGGCTACAGCCTCCTTTCAGAGAGTTGTAGAGAGTGATAAGGTCACCCCTGAGCCTCTTTTTTCTCCAGGCTAAACACCCCCAGCTTCCTCAGTCACTCCTCATAGAACTTGTGCTCCAGACCCTTCACCTACTCCATTGCCCTTCTCTGGACACATTCCAGCACCTCAGTGTCTTTCTTGCAGGGAGGCATCCAGACCTGGACACAGGATAGGACGGGTGCCCTCACCAGTTCCAAGTACAGAGGGGACAATCACTGCCCTGGTCCTGCTGGCCACACTATGGCTGATACAGGCCAGGATGCCTTTTGACCTATATTCAGAGCAAAATAAAAGTAAATTTTCCTTCCGTTTTTAAGAAAAACCTGTAGATTTAGATGCATTTTAGATACTTCATTTACAACTAAGATCTAAGGAATGTTTTTTGTGGTATCTGTTTATGTTTATATCATGCCGTGTTTTCCACATAAGCAAGCAGAGGCATAAGGATTCATATTGAAAGTATAATTGAAAATGCATTTCAGAAGTTTCACCTCCTATCTTCTCTTTGTAGGAGATCTGTCTCTCTTCAATAGTGCATTTGGTGGTTTGGACTGGCTTCCAAAAAACTACTATGTAGAAGTGGTACTTAAATAGTGACTGCCTTAGATAGAGAGCAGCTGAAGCCGCTAAATAGGCTCTCTGCTGTTTCAGTATGTGAATAGAAGAGGTCTCTTCATAGAGGTACAAATGTAGCAATGATAGATAAAATTTCTGCAAATAATATTCTACAAATTCTACAAATAATAGTTTTGTTCAGTGTAATGCAGGCCAAGATAAAGCTGTTTGTCAAAATTCTTGGTGTATTTTGGGTAATAGTGTATATGTATTATCCAGATCCAGCTTGCAGGACTCTATTATACAAACTATTCCTGAAGAGGAGACTTTAATAATGGAAGGAATTGAATATTTATATTGATGATTAAGATTCAGATAAGTCCTTATTAAGATAAGTCCTTAGTGTATTGCATAGGGGAAAAGGACACTAAAAGCTATGTATTAAAAGCTCTTGCACTTGGAAGTAAGCAATCTATTAGGAAAGCAGCTTGGAAGGAAATTAATCTTTTGATAGGCAGCTTATATCATTGGAGGCTTCCTTACCTCTGAATTGCTGATATACCAGGGCTCCAATCTGATTTGGAAGTTTCTGATTTCCTAGAAGCATTGGGTCAGATGTTCAGTGTCTTCATTATATATAAACTGAAAGAAATCTCTCCTAGGTAAGGCACTTCCATTAAGCAAGTGTCAGGTACAAAGGAAAACTTAATTTATGTTTGAATTTTGTTATAGGCAACTTGATCTTTACTGTGCCATACCAGTTTGTTTATGGAGAGAGTTCAGCTTTTAAGAAGTTTTGGATATGTAAAGCAGAGCTGTTATTTCTCAGCCAACTTTCCAACTTTTTCAGTTCGGTTTATTTTTGTTTCTGTCCCTGAAATCTATAGACAAGTTGTATTTTGAATACACATGCACAAAAACCCCCTGCAAACACAGGAGTATTTTCTTTCTATCATAAATGTTATGCAATATTCATGCATTAAACATGATCAAGAAAAGCATGGTGGAATAGTAGGGGGAGGGGGGCTTCACAGTATTTTGTGTCCTCTTTTACACCACATTGTGAGTTAGTGTTCTCCATTCAAATACTCAGACTTTGGAAAACCCAAAGCTAGATGGAGAGCGTCATTGTATTTTACTGACAGCTGTGTTGGGCTTGATTTACCACATTACAGGAGGAACTATAGCAAAGCCTTGTGGTAATGACATGAGGAGGTGCAGAATTAGCACCTGTATCAGTTTTAATGCTGTTTGCGAAGAATATTAGTGGTTTTTAAAATTTGTTTTCTGTACCAATATTTTTTTTTTACTTTTCAACAGGATCCACTCTGTGTAGCTATGAACTACAGCCATCAGAATATACAACAGACCCAAGGGCTGCCAAGTTATGTCCTAAATATCCTGTTCCAGAGAGGTAATATGATCAAGTTGTCTGATTTGGGGTGGAGGGAGCAGAGATTTGTTTTGATCATGAACTTTAGAAAATACCAACACATGTTCACTCTTACCAGATAGGTGTTTTAGTGTATTATTGTATATATTTCTAAAATTCAGTTTTTAAAAGGTAGTGAAAATAATAGTCAAAGAAAAACCCAAATTATCTGTGTATGTGTTACTGAAACTATTTAATTGTTATCTCCAAATTCTCTTGTCTCATATGACAAACACTGTTCTAAGTATCAGCTGTTTTACTGCCTTTCACCCTATCTATAGCCAGCTGCCTATCAGCAATGCAGATCTGAGACAATCATGGAACATTTTTAATCTTTGGGAGAAAAAAATATGTAGGGATGCACAGCTCTCTGCAGCATTCTTATAGCTTATACTTCTTATACCTTACGTCAGCCAGTCAGATAGATGCAAATTGCTTCAGTTTTTACTCTTTCAGTCTGCAAATAACTAATATAGGGATAGTTCAATACCAAAAAGAGGGCTGTATTTTATTAACAGATCATTTTGAGGTTTATTTTTTTAAGTGTTACATTACACTGCTGTTTGTGAAATAGGATTGGAAAGTTCATGGCTTCATGAGCTCTTGTAGCTGTGCTGCCTGGACCTGCTGAGATGAGCATTGCTGAGAAAAGAAGTGATGTGTTAGTGTTGTTCGCAGCCTTCTGTCAGTAGTTGCACTAACTCAAGAAGAACCATGTTGTGTTTTCTCAAAATTTAGCTTCTCAAATATACTCAGTAGTGAGTGATAACTGCAGAGTCTTTTCTTATGCATAGTTTTCTGTTACGTTTTTTGTAAATATTTGTTCTAACAAACTTGTTCTACAAACTCTGATTTTAAGTCTTTCTTGTATATGTGGTAGCCTCTCCACTGAACCTTTTTTTTTAAATATTATAGTGACAATTAGTGACAGCTGGCATATTAGCTTTTTAAAAAAATTTCCCAATATAGATTTATATTCCAGCTAGACAGATGTTACTGTCATAATACAAAAACAAATGAAAACTTCAGTGCCAGCTTGCATACTGAAAAGACTTGTTAGTTCTAATTTTTGCCAGAATTATATTGACTTCTCATAGTGCATTCTAACGTCATTCAGTCTCAATAAATACAGCTTAGTAAGAAAACAGAAGGATAGAATAATGTATCAGAGCTCTAATGATGTTATGTAAATTCCTCATAAAAACGACCTTATGTTATTTTAAATAAACTATTGTGTAGGTGTAGTATTTTCCCTTTTTGATATAGTATCACTAAAATATATGATTCATTTGAGCATTTTTGAGATTGAAAAGTCTGAACTTAATGCCCTAAGGCAAAAAAGGCCAACATTGTATCTGTAAACAACTGGTTTTCAGGTTTTTATAGTTAAATTATTTGAGTAAGTGTAATTTGAAGGAGAAATGTCATCCTGTTGAGACAACCAAATGAAAACCCAACATCTTGTAGACTGAGGCATTCAGGAAGAACTTACCTAACAGTCACATTTGATCTGTGTCATGGTTTAATGCCATCCAGCAACCCAGACACCCACAGCCAATTGCTTGTTTCCCCATGAGCAGGACTGGCGAGAGAACTGGAAGGGTAAAAGGTAAAAAGCTTGTTGGTTGATATAAAGATGGTTTAATAAGGGAAGGAAAGCTGCACACATAAGCAAAGCAAAACAAGGAATTAATCACTTCCCAGGGGCAGGCAGGTGTTCAGCCATTCCAGGAGAGCAGGGCCCCATCACATGCAACATTTATTTGGGAAGACAAACACCATCACTTCAAACGTGCCCTCCTTCCTCTTCTTTCCCCCTGTTTATATCCTGCACATGATGCCATGTTTGGATGTTTGGAATATTGCTTTGGTCAGTTTGGGTCACCTGTCTTGGCTGTGTCTCCTCCCAGCCTCCCACACACTCAAAATGTCCTTGCTAGCATGTCAGTAAAAAAGAACAAAAGGCCTTGGCTCTGTGCAAGCCCTACTCAGCAATAACAAAAACATCTCCATATTATTAACCCTGTGTTTAACACAAATCCAAAACAAGCTCCATACCAGACACTTCCTACCCCAGCTGAAATCAGTGCAATCTGTCAAGGCTTATGAACCCTCTGATCCTCATTAGTTCCATGGGATGGAGGTAGCATATGGTGTGAAGATTGTCCCTTGATGTTTTCTGTTTGATGACCATGCTTCTTCACAGCCTTCAGCTGAGGCTGTCAATGGACTCTTACCATCCATCTTCAAGGTATTATGTCCAACTTTGACAGAGTAGTACAGTCTAGCAGTGCAATCAGCAGTATGTATTTCTTCCACACCCCACCTAGATCAGCTTCTGTAGACATGACTGCATGTTTAGAGGGCCCTGGAGGAAAACCTGTCTAGTTCCCTGCAGCATTTATCTCTAAATCAGCTATGCCAAACTGTGCCAAGGGACTGCCCTGCAGAGGTTATAAAGAGCAGCTAGCAGTGTTACTCTAATTGGAATCCTCCTCATTCACACAGGTTGCTTTTCTACCCAGGTACATACACAGGGGTAGTAGCGAGAGGAAAAAATTCTTTGCAATCTAGTACTTGAGTAATCAGATGGATCTCAACTTCATTTGAATGATGCTTTAAAAGTACAGCTGCTGAGACCATCATCTACTGGCTTCAACTTTATTCGTTCTTGTTTATGATTAAGCATCATGTTGCTATTCTTAGAAATTTTTCCCTGTCAGTAGGTAATATACCATGATATAATCAAGAGTTCATATAAAATAGCGCAGGTCATAGAGAATAGATCTATTATTGTGTTTTTTATTGGGACACTTTACCTCACCTACTCATTCAGTCAGAACCACTGGAGCAGAAGCAGATCTCAAAAGTGGATTCTCAGGAGTCCCATTTACTCAAGAAAGCTTGTAGGAACTACTAACCTATTTTTTTTTTAATTAATTAAAACAAACTTAACAATTAATTACTGCACATGAAAATAGTTAACTTAAAATAGGTAGTGAAATTGCTTTAGGTTAAGAGATATTAGATGACTAATATAAACTCTGATGCAAAAAGCATGTTTTCTTTCATTGCGATATATTTTTGAAGAATACTTTAATCCCTTTTGTTCCCTTTTCAAAACGAATATTTTTGTATTGGGTTACAGGAATAACATTATTTTGCCTACTCCCACCTCAAAATTTGGGCTTTCTTGCTGGTAGCAACAACTTACAAGTGCTCTAAGTTTTCTGAAAAGTTGTAGCAGTTAACAATAAATAAACCTCTCAAATGTCAGTCTTTTTCAGTAATATGCCATATAATAAGCAGCCATATTCCAAAATAGGTTATGTTTTAAGAAGCTAAGAGGATACATGGGCTGCCTTTTAAGTAGGGCAGACATTGTTATGGGTTTGTTTTTTAATAACTGTGACTAATGCATAATTACTTTCTGTACTTAACTGCTGTGTTCATTCCTACCCAAACGCAGACCATCAATATGAGCATCTTCAAATGCGTTTACCCACTCAACACAGTAATCCTATAAAATTTGCGATCATCAGTGAGTTTAAACAAAAACCTAGGATTAACTAATTAATTACCTAGAAATGGCAGGTGATCATAATTTCTCCCAATTTCCTTACAGAATAGTTACACTTTAATTGTTTGCAGCATGTCATTCTTTTTCCCCAGAAAAACAATGGATGGGAAATATGTGCCTAAGGCAGCTGGTTTATTCACTACATGTTTAAAATTGTGGCTAGAATTTTAGAAAGACATGTCTTTAAAAGTAGTTCTTGAGGACAGAAAATGGTTGATTTATAGGTCATTGCTGAAATGGGGAAACTGCAGAAGATTGTATTCATTGCTGGTATAGTCCACCAAAATTTTTCAAGTAAGGAAGACTGGGCAGGTAAAACAAGAGAAAAGACTTTTTTTTCATTGGATCCAATTACAGGAAGGAACATGTAATTCATGTCTGAAATGTAATTGGGAATTGATCAAATTATGTAATAGGCCACTTTGAAATCTGACATAGTTTATGACCATGGCAGATGGCTACTAAATGGGAGACATTTAAAAAACAAAATCACCCACTTTTAAAGGAAAGTTGTTGCTCTTTTGTGTCTTTCTCTTGATAGCAGGTTTTTCATAGCATTCTGCAAAGTTTAGTGCATAGTCTCAATAGTTTTTTGTGAGGGCCTTTCCAAAACACTTCAAAACAATAAAGGCATCCTGGCATGTTTTGCGTAGTTCTAAGAAAGTTAATGAATATAAACACTGTGATTGTAATATTCAGTACAAGAACTAGCTTAGTATGGGGAAAGGCTAGGAATAAATGCATTCGTTTTGCTTGGCAGCAGTTTTGAATGCTGATGTCCTTTAGTGCAAAATATATACTCTCAAGAAGAGTATTGTTATTCTGCAATTTCTTTTGCTGCAGATATGGACCAGTATTCCATTTTAAAATGAGTGAAAGGCATTGTTTCAGCTAGTGGTTCACACCTGACACTTGAAAGAAAGACATTTAAGTGGAAAATAGGAACATATACTTTCTGTGCCTTGTCATTTAAGGGTGGGAGGGTAATAATATCCTATTGGAGTGTACATTCCAGCCTCATAGGGTTGTTTGTAAGAACTGCATCACTTTTCATTATGATCATCCTCATTTCAGCAGCACTTGTGCATTCAACACATGGTTTCTGGTTATGATGTTATAAGGGTAGAATGATTGCATCTATTCACCTTTCATTTGTGTGTTGATGTGGCATTTATATTAAGTAGGAGTAATTTTTTTTTCTGATTTTTTTTTCTTGTGTCACCAGTGCACCTATTCCATTCTTCCATCGCTGTGCTCCTGTGAACATTTCCTGCTATGCCAAGTTTGCAGAGGCCCTGATCACCTTTGTCAGTGACAGTAGTGTCTTACACAGGCTGATTAGTGGAGTTATGACCAGCAAAGAGATTATAATGGGACTTTGCTTGTTATCACTAGGTAATTGTTTTTCTCATTACTAGCTATTTCTTAGTGTACTCCATTAGGAGGTTACTAATACACTCTAACCACATTATGAGCAAAAAACCTGTATAATAGCAACAATCCCTTAGAAAATTATTCAGAATGCTTTTTAAAAATTTTATTTGGGAGCTGGGTAACTTATTCATAAGTAATATACTGGTTTTGTTTCTCTTGTTTCTATGAGATAGAGGATGCATGGCTGTTAATTAGCCAACATTAATTTTTATATAGTTAAGAGAACATCCATTTTTTCTTAATTTTTTATAGTATTCCCCTTTCCCATTTGTAGTAGTCATCTTCTACCAACTCAAGTCCAAATAAACCCTTTCCAAATAAAAAAGACAGGTTGAGAAATGCAAAGTAGCACACTTTGATTGGATGTAGGGCATTTAATTTGTTTCATTTAACATACTTGCACAAAGATATGAGAACTTGAAGAGTGAAAACTAGAAAATCAGGTGCCCATTTGTTGCACTGTATGTTACCTCCTTCTTCCCCTTCCTTCAAAATTAAAAGCTTCGGGTCTTTGAAAATCTCAGCCTTTTCTGAAGAGCTGGAAATTCCCAACAATACAGAGGTGCTGAATTTTTTCTATAGCTGTGAGATGCCTCTAGCCTATCAAGTGACACTTTGTGCTGCACTGAAGAGCTGCTTTAACAAAGTCATCTTGTTTGAGGTGGGATGTTGCCCACTGACATAAATTGCTTTCCTAGTGAGTCTATTTTACTCATACAAAGTATAAAATCTGAAATCCTAAAATGGGAGTATCATGATATTAGCTATTCATATGAGAGTGTATTATTTAGAAAGAAACACTGCAAAGCTGTATCAGATACAGGGATCTTTTGTTTTCAGTTTCCTTTTGTGGTTGAAGAAAAGGGTAGGGGAGAAGGAAGGGAAAAGGAAAGAAAAAGAGGAGGATGCTAGATACCATTAACCCCCTCTACATACACACAAAAGACCATTGTGTATTTTTTTCAACTGTAGCTTGAAAGCTGTTTATTTTTATATCTTGACAGCTTCAGTATTTGGTAATAATGGTAGAAAACTGTTCAAAATCTGAAAGCTAGTAGCTGATTCACAGTTCTACTGTTCAGTTAGAGTCAGAAGTTAGTACAGAATTTACATATAGTTAATTTAAAAAATAGATTTTGTAATTTCATAGTTAAACAGAAATTATTTGTTTTAAAACAGTGGGTTAGACTGTGGTTCAAAAAGCCAGGTTCCAGTGGCTTGCATGTGACTGCTGAACACAAACGTGTATATGTTAAAATACAAATATGTACTTGTACACACCACTCACTTAGCCTTAGCTGCTGTATAGTTTTTTACTTGTAACTGGCATGACATTTCAGAATACACAGGTATCATATTGACTGCACTTTGATATGTGTATTTGAGTACAGACTCTGACCTGGCCCTCAGGAGGTGTGCTCATGTTACCAGACTCAAAGTACTGTCATGCCTTGCTATCTGTTTGGTCATTGTCTAAGTACATCTCTGTCTGTATGCATGCATTATGTCTTGTGTCTGATGTATCGTGTAAATGTATTTATGCTCTCTTTGTTTTAATCAACATTATCAAAGCAGAAGTTGTAGAGGTGCCTGATTTTCTTAACTATCTATTCAGTGAGTTTGTAAGCCTCAAAAAAGAAACCTGTCTGTAAAAATTCTGTTGGAAGGCAGTTCCCTTAGTACAGTAGGAAAATTAGGAAGGCTGTATCTACTTGAAGTAATTAGTCTGCTTATTTTATTTGTCTTCTTTTGCAGTGTTGTCCATGATTTTGATGGTTATAATAAGGTACATTTCAAGAGTACTTGTCTGGATTTTAACAATTCTTGTCATTCTGGGATCGCTTGGTAAGTTGTGTTTGTTTCCCACTTGGAGTGCCCAGTTCTAATCCTTGTGCTCCATTTCCTCAGCCCAGCTACAATTCTCACACACTTGGATCATGCATTTCCCTTCAGCCTTTTTTTTTTGAGTCCCTTTCCAGACGCACATCCAAAATGCCACCTTAGTAATTGCAGATCTCTCTCAGAGAGTACATTGCTCCTTGGATATTTGCACACCCTGCTTGGCGTCAGTCATCATGTCAGCCTAGCTCACTAGAGCCCACAGGTGACAGTGCAGGAGATTCCTCACAGCACTTGTAGCACAACCCTAAACGTTGCCTACTTCTTTACCTGCCTTCCAAACAGGTCAGCAAGGCAGCTAAGCCTCGGTGTGTCTGGTGGTACTCCCATGCCTCAGCTGGTGCATGAAGAAATCAAAGGGCAACTCTTGCTCATGCAGCTGAATATATTTACAACTCTGACATGTTCATCAGCCCTTCAGTTCTTTGAGTAGCTCTTTAAGACCTGTTCTTGAAGAGAGGAAGTAAAGGTGCTTCTCCAACAATTCTAATTAAATTATTGTATTTCTGTATGACTCAGGAACACCTGCATGACCTAGATCATATGTGAAATGCCACCAGGCAAGCTATCTTGGAAATGACCAAAGGTTGTCTCCTCCAAAATTAGGTAGCTTGTGTGAAAATACTCTTATTTTGTCACATTAGCTTTTAATCTCATAAAATGAAAGTTTTCTACACTTATTACTGAGTAGCTAAGCCAAAATGTTTGGCGAGGTGACTGCATGGAAAGAAAAAAAATAAAATAATCACATTAGGAAGCACTAGTGATTTAATTCTCGCAATTCAAGACTGCAATGGATGGAAAAAATCAGCAGACCATATGTATTTTTTCAGGATCACTTTGGTTTTCTAATTAATGGCCTCACAATCTATGACCAGGGAAAAGGAAAAATATGGATTTTTTTTTTCATTTATATTCTCTTTGGAAGTTGAGCAACCATGTTGAGTGAAACAGTTGAATAACTTATCTTACTGGCATCTGTTTCTATGTTCTAGAAAGTTACATCCATTAAAATAATGGATTGAATAAAACCTCATCTTTTATGACATATACTGCTTATTCTTGAACAGTCTTGACTGTTTGTTTAGGAGGTGTCAAAAGAGCATTCTTCATTTTAGACCTGAACAAAGTATGTTCAGCAAAAACATGGCAATCACATAATCACAGAATGAGTGAGGTTGGAAGGGACCACAGAGGCTCATCTGGTCTAACCTCCCTACTCAGGTTATATATTTGATTCAGAAATACCTGCAGAACAGAGAAGGACAATTAAAAGAGAAAAGAAATGTACCAGAGAGGAGAGGTTATCTCCCTGAGGGGCTGGAGATCTGTGTTCAAGAAAAGTTCTACCTTGGAAAAGCAGCTAGAATAGGAGAATGTTTTCCTGGCCATAAGGCTAGGATTAACATAATAGGGGTGAGAAGATAGTACCTCACATTGTATTTGCCTCCTGTGCCTTTTACTAATGTTTTTTCTGGTGTCCAAGACATTGTGTGAGGCATGTTTAGCTACATATCATTAAGGTGCCGTTTCCAGCATCAGGCTGATGCTAGTTGTTTGTAGTCTTCCCAGGAACAGTAGACTCCTTGCTTTGTTGTTATTTCACATCCTAATCCAAAGGTCTGTCTCTATTTTCCCTCCTAAATTCTTACTCCCTGCATTATTGCATACACCTATACATTCATACATACAGCCCACCACAGAACTATTTATTCATCCTTTTGTTCTTATTACCTGTGTAGTGGGAGCTGTGCTGTTCACTGTTAGGGCTTTCCATGAAGTAGTTTTTCAATGCAGTTTACCCTAAAACACAGAGTCAAGGTTCTGCAAGTCTCTTAAGTGGTCATAGTATGGTGAGACTGTGAAAAGAATATATTCACTTGAGAAGAAGGCAGCAGAGGAGAACTAGGTACTTCTCCCTCCTCTCAAGGTCCTGTTGGGTTGAGCATCAGTGCTTTTGAGTATTCACTACCAGACTAGACTTAAAAGGAAAGAACTGTTTTATTTCTCTGGGACTAGGTGGTATATATCACACAGAGGATTCATTTATTTATCCTTCTTCTTTTCTCACTAAAACATAGGTGGTACTGGAGTCCTGTGGTGGCTCTATGCTAAACAAAGAATGTCCGCTGGTGCTCTTGAGACCCAAATAGCCAAAGACAATCTTCAGGCTCTCTTGATCTATGCCATTGCAGCTACAGTCTTCACGGTATGCTTTGCTAATGATGGTATTATTTTCTGCTCTTGTCTTCCTGTTAATCTCTATTTTTTGTCCAGGTGATATTGCACACATTTTGGAACAGTTTATTTCTGCCACAATTTCTGTTGAAGTGATTTTCTTTCATTGTGCTATTTTTTTAACTTTTAGGAATTGTTCTCTAACACCTGATTATGAGTCAGGGGAGACTTTCTAGGAGCTGTTCTCTGTTATCTGATTTTAAGTCAGGAGAGACTTTCTAAGCCTGCAGCTACTTTCATCTACTGTAAAATATCCACAGGGACTTCTAAGAATAGGTATGATACTGGATTGCCAATCCAAAGAGATTTTTCTTAGGTTCTCAGTTCAGAGGTACTTAGTAATTTCAGTGTATTAATAGTCCTTAGCCTACTTCTGAAAGAAGTTGTTCGTAAATCATTATGAATTGAAATACTAACACCATTTTAACCAATTTGTCTTCTTTGGGCCTTGCTGTTAATTTCAGAGTCACTGAATTTACTATTGGAAACTGACAATGCTTGACTAACTTCACAGGAATTGTAGACTTCCTCTTCTGTTCTTGTTGCTTCACTTCCTAATCCAAAAGTTCCTCTCTGTTCCCTCTCCTAGATTCTTACTCCCTATATTATACACATATATACATACATCCTATAAGACCACCACGCCCTAGTCAGATATAAATTTTAAATTACCTTTCTTAAAGGTAATTAAAGGTTAAAACTGGCTGATTTCACTGCTTTGTAAAACATAATTGAGGATAGAACCTGGTCTTGTCTCATCAGCTTAAAGCTATGATGATTCTAAATACGTACTTATGAGAATGGAATTCACCAAAAGTATAATTTGGAAAATAATTTATTACCAGAAGAAGCTGATAGAGGTTTTACATTTTGATCTTGTGATTTTGTAGATAATGTGTTAATTTAGTGTATTTGAATATCCTAACTGTGTGAAAGAGTATCTTGATTCTGTTTCAGTACTCTAAAATGTGATTTGGAAACTTCTCCCTCCAGGTTGTCTTGTTCTTGATCATGTTAATTATGCGCAAAAGAGTAGCTCTCACCATTGCCTTGTTCCATGTGGCTGGCAAGGTCTTCATTCACCTGCCACTGTTAGTCTTCCAGCCATTTTGGACATTCTTTGTGCTTATCCTCTTCTGGACATACTGGATCACTGTCCTGCTTTTTCTTGGTACTACAGGTAAGCAGTGACTTACTTTAAATAATTTTCATTTCATTGTTGTATGATTTGTAGCAGAGTTGACGAAAAACCCTGTGGGAGTCTCAAAGAAAAAGGCCCACTTGTTGTGCTTCTATTCCTGTCTGCTGCTTCACTGCCTTCAGGTTATTGTGCACTTGAGTCTTAATTCCCAGCATGGTACTTTGTGTGTTAGGATGGCTTTTTGATTTGATGCAAGTTGGCTTGCTGCAAACCATGAGACACTAATAATAAAACTGCTGTAGCAATTTTTCAAATAATTCCATCTAATTTGTCACACACAAGTTAAAGACAGCATAAACTTGGAGTCACCAAGTATTGTACTCACACAGATGAGTACACAGTAAGGGAAGGGCCATTGCACACAATACTGTCTCCCACAATGTAAATATTGTGATTTTAGTTTTCAGTTGTTTGTAACTTAAGTGTCCAGTATTATTCCAGAATCAATAGGGATATTTTTCTGCTGCTTGTGCATTGTATTCTGAGAGCAGCCGATGTACTGCTAATTCCTGCCTGCTCTTCAGTATGTAGAAGGTGAAATCTTTGTTTGTATTCAGGGTCTGACAAGAGCTTCTAGAATTAATCAACCCCATAGGTCCAAATCTTAATTACTTCAGCAGCAAAAAAACCACCACAGCAGATGCTTTTCAAACAGTCTGTTAGTTGCAGTACATTGTAGGCAACAGAGACTGTCATTCATTATTAAATGTCTTAAAATTTTGAAACATGTTGTTTGCTACTGACCCAAAAGTAGCAGTGTTTCAAGTCACAAGGCTATTTCACAGTAATACAAGATAAATATTTTTCATATCATGAGTTCTAGCAAAGGTTGGAGGCAATAGAATTCATATGTTCCTGTTCTCATTACTGTTGGAATTTTTAGTTTTCATTGCATGCTGTGCTATGTGCAGAAAATGGTCACCACTGAAAGTCTCAGCCCTGTGCTTCATTTTCTGAGTCAGACCACTGCACAGGCACTTAGTTTGTAGGAGAATGTAGTCTGATATTAAAGTTAACTGACAGAACCCTTCAAACTGCCTTGATTTTGCAAAAACTATCTTATCTTTTTAGCTTATATATAGTCACTATCATCACTATTATCAGTTAAACAAACTGTTTCTGCAAATAAGGCCAAATCCTTGTTCACCAAAATCAGCATTATTTCAATAGTTAACCTATTGACAAGAAAACATTCATTTTATATGTAAGTATAAAAACATAACTAAGAATGTGGGTAAGGTGCTGTCAGTGCTAAGTCAAAACAATGCTTTTCAAGGTAAGCACTTTATACACACTTCCTTACAGTGTTTTTCTGAATCTCATCAGTTGTTCATGTAAATGTTGTATAAGGTGAAACATCTCACTGTGCATTAACACATTGAAATAGAGCTTATCTTAGCTCTGACATGCTGTCAGTCTCTGTACATTATATTGATATTCATATCAGACAAAGAGTTGATGCATTTTTGAATATATGAAATGACATATTTAGAATTTCTAAGGCTGCTCCATATGTCTGCTACTAGCTTTAAAGCTACAAGAGCTTACCATAGGGAAAACAAAAGTGATTGTTAATGTTGACATCTAGATGTAAGGAGCTGATACTGATTCCTACTGTATAAAAATACTGATAAGGCAGCAAACTCAGATTTGAAATTACTGAAGTAGACTTCCATTATGTTTAACTATGTGAATTTTTGCTATGAGATGGTGGTTAGTTGTGGAATTTTTTTAGTGTATTTTTTTCAAATACCATTATACTTATTGTAAATGTGGTAATTGTAAATTTAAAACTATGAGTAGAAACTAGAGAGGTTTCTGCTGTAACTGGCTATGAGCTGCTAATACCATATGCTTCCTTCATTATGAGTTCATGTAAGCCTCATTTTACTTTTTACCCTCATTCATTTCTAGGTAGTCCTGTCCCAAATGAAGAAGGATTTGTTGAATTTCGGATGGCAGGTCCTTTGAAATACATGTGGTGGTACCACGTAGTGGGACTCATCTGGATCAGCGAGTTTATCCTAGCCTGTCAGCAGATGACAGTAGCAGGGGCTGTTGTAACATACTATTTTACAAGGTAACGTTAACCTATGAAGCTCTATTATGAGTAGCCTACACATTGACTTAGCAGAAATAATGAGCAGCAAGGTTTCTGCGGAGAATATTTGTGTCCATTGGAAAAGCGGGGGAACAGTTAAATTGCCTTGACCCTTTTTAAATAATGTAAAGTCTGTTTTGCCATTTATAGATGGTATTCTTGACATATAAGACTTGAAGTATTATTTGCCTTGTAACCTGTGCACATTCTACAGGTATGGGTGGTTTTTTACAAAGTAGGATGAGTCTGGAAGGTCATCTGTTTTGCTAAGTAATTAATGCTGATAAGATCTATAGCAGAGGTTAAAAATAATGAAAGCAATTGATTATTATTTTAATTGCAAAACAGTGCCCTTAAAATTATTTACAGTGCTTCACTAATCTTCATTAATCTTTCCTTCACAGGATTCCTTAAGATCTTATTAGATTATTAATTTATATATAGATCCTGACAATATCATATAGAAATTAATGTAAAATTTTAAAGCTCCATATTTTATTGCTGTACTTGTGAACTAAATTGTGTATCAGTTTTTTGAATAATGTATGCAGGTATTTTTCAAGTGCATGATTCAGATCACAAATGTTTAATTGCTTTGTCTTTTTCATTGAGGCCGTTACCTGAACTACATTTGTCTCCTTTTCTGCCCTACTCTTTAAAATAATACCAAAAGCAAGGAATCAATTTATTGTGCTGTCAGAAGTTTTGTTATTTTACTAATGATTAAGTTCTCCACTATACCAATCAAATAAATCTATGAGGTTATTACAAGATGTTACAGGGCTGTAATCTTGTGAATAATTAAACTAGATTGAGTATGGAATGAGGAAAATACAGAGGAAGGAGAATAACTCTGCACTGAAATAGATTGCTTAGCAATGTGTATGCTTCATCTGTAAGTTTATGTATTTCCTGTGGCCTGAGGGTGAATAATTTTTATTTCATCCATACCCTATAATTCCATGACAGTAATTTTATTTTAAGTTAGTAAATACTCATTTCTCTCCGTTATCTTCTTTTTGCATTTTAAGGTACAACCGTAATTTGAAATGTGACTTGTAAAAACAGAAAAGGCATTAATTTGCACTTACCCATTATTTTGCACATGAACAGCTTTCCAAATCAAATGAGATGAGGTTGTCCATGGAGAAATGTTTTATATGTGTTCGCTGCTCATTCACTTTACCCGGATGGATTCCTTTCAACTCAGGCAATAACAGGCCTCAAAGTGTTTTGCATTACAGACTTTGCCCTGAAAATGAGGAAGTGTTTGGTTTGCCTGGGCATGAGACTCAAGCAATTTATGTGATTGTGCCTAACAAGGAGTAAAATTTGTCTTCCCCTAAAAGCTAATTGGAATAAAATACAGGGTAAACCTACTTTACTCATTAACATCTGAGGATTATGCAGATATTAGTTTCGTGGAATGAAGAATCTACTTCTGTTTTCTTTTCTGAGTGAAATTCTCATCTCTTCCAAGCTGGGGAGATCCTTTATTTTTGAATGTTATCACATGTTTCTTAATATGCTTATTATCATGCTTTTATTTCCAATAAAGAAGAAGAGCCGCTCTTTAAATGTTTAATTAGTGCTATCCTTTGACAGAGATGTATAAATGAATTTCTTGGTAGAAAAGAATAATGGCATGAAACTGTGAACATGAGTATTTATCTGATAAATTAAAAACATTATAACTACAGTGCATAAAATAACTTATTTTAAGGCTCAACCCTTGGTACCTTGAGGATATAACAGCTAAATCAGAAATTTAAAAAATCTGAGCAAAGAGTTTACCTGATCAATTAGTAATATCCACTCCAAAGTCCATACAAAGATCTCCAAAAGAACAAGAGAGGAGAGGGCAAGTTTATCAGTAGCCTTACTAAAAAAGTATTAGCACAGTTTCCTACTGTGTTGGAAGGTTTTGAATTGCATACCATCTGGTGCAACTTTAAGGGAATTGCCAGTTCTTAATAGTGGTAATGCAGCCAACTGCTAGTAAGACTACCTGAAAACAATGAGTGTTTCCAGTTGCTTGGAGAATCACTGGCCAAGGTATTGGCAAAAACTGGTTAATATAGAAGTTAAAGTGTCACAGAGTTCATTGGCAAGAATTACTCTACTACTTAGTAGATGATTAAAGCACACTTTAAAAAGGAAAAGTAGGACTAAAATCAGTTAATCTAAGACTAAACCTAAAATTATGTGGAAGCTGGGGATAATAAAAGCTAAGGATGAGAAAGCATAAGGATAAAAAGAAATGAGGGAGACCCTCTCATCAAATCACAAGGTTAAGAGTAGGCTGTCTTGCCACTCTTAACCCCAGGCTTCACCAACAGTGTAGGCCTAAAGAGTTAAACAGCACTTAAACTTAGCATCACTTAATCAATAGCGTAATTTAATGAATTTAGTGAAAGAGGGTATAGAATTTACTATGAGCACAACAGTGACTCAGTTACTTAGACCTGATTTACTTACCCCTGTAACATTCACAGTACATTTGTTGTAGCACATTCACGCTCACATGTGTAGGTACAAGGTATAGACCCGTAAAAATTCCTCTCAAGTTTAGTGAAGTGCTCAGGTCAGATGCCTCTACACCTTCTCGAAAGGTGAAGGGTTGAGGCTTGAGAAGTGGGTTGTCAGCCCAGGCTCTGTCAGCAACATTTGATGTTGGTCCTCTGAGTATCACAAATTTAAGTGTTCAGTGGCTCAGAGAGGTCCCACTCAGAAGGAGGTGCTGGTCCCACTGTGGTCCAGGAGTTTACAGGGTTGCAAGCAAATTGGCTTTAGTCATGGTAATTTTCCATCCTGTCCACAATTCAGGTCAGTTACTTTCTTTGAAAGTTCAATAACAGAAATGGTTGTTCTGCCTAGGTTGATATTTGGGCACAAAAGATACGTTTACAAGGCTGTTCCTTTAAAAACAGGAGCCTGATAGACAGGACAAGTTCCTGGGAGCAGACTGTGTTTCTGATAATTTTGAGGAGCTGAGCCCAGGTGCTGTTTGACAAGACCGGGGTCTAACAAGCATTTCTGAGATTGTAATGCAGCCCAAGATGGGAAGGGACAAAGGGGATGCATCACCACACTACTCTTATGTGTTACAATTCAATTTAAACAGAAGAGCAAAGAAAACTAAGTCTTTGTGAATAAAATGGATTGAACACAGAAAGGTTCAAAATATACTCCAAAACTTGATTAAAGCCAAAGGAGGTTAGATGTTAATGCCAACAAAACCAAAAAAAGTTTGTATATTTTATTTAATAGTAAAAGAGGCAAAGGGAAAGAAAGAGAGAAGAAAGGAATATGTAGAAAAAGAGCAGGGACGGGAACAGGAAGAGGGACAGGGGTTAGGTAGAACCATACCATCCTTCCAAGGGTTCCCCGCACCCCAGAAAGTATAGAATCCAGTGGATTCATATATATTTGGGCCAGGTAGGAATGCCTTGAGGGCAGGTTTGACACTGTCCCTTGCAACACTGTGGATCTGGTACATCATGTTGCTGTGCTGCAGTGCAAGATCTGGGGGCCCCTTGTGGGTATAACTTTTGCTGGGCCATGACAATCCGTCTGCTGTCGTTCACGTGGATGTCCTGTAGATGTGGCTTTCCCAGGTGAAGAGGTGACTGCTCCTGGGCAGGTCTGCCCTACAGAGTATTGGCATTCACTGCCTCTTACCAGTGGCTTTTTCACCACACATCCAAGACCTGTCCTTCCCACCCCCAGCCTTTAGTGTGAGGGCCTGTGCAAGTCTGGCAGCTGATAGTCCTTGGGCTGTCGTCTCCTCACCCAAAGGTGTGAGGCTTAACCTTCCTGTGAGTGTTTTTATTTTTTTTCCAGCCCAGAATTGAGTCACTTTCTCTGATCTCCATCAACTTGCAGTCCAGAGCCTCACTCAGGAGGCTCATTCAGGGTGTGGTGGTCTTCCATGCAGCTTTTGTTAAAAAGTTTTGCTATAATAGGCAAAAGTCCTTCATAAAAATGCTTAAGCCATAAATGATAACATTGCGGTCTCCAACAGTATGACATACTAATTCCTAATCCTCGTCCTGCATTAGAGACAAATTTGTACAGTTACACAGATTGTCAGGGTGGAGTGAGCAATATATCCTGAAAGCTAGTATGAGCATAATATATTCCTTTTGTACATTATTTTATTGAGAATTTGTAGCACTTCTTAAATACTTAGGGTTTTTTTTCTCTTGTCAACAGGGAGAAAAGAAATCTGCCATTTACTCCTATTCTGGCATCTGTTAATCGCCTTGTTTGTTACCATCTAGGAACAGTAGCAAAAGGGTCTTTCATTATCACACTAGTGAAGATACCACGAATGATTCTTATGTATATTCATACACAACTCAAAGGAAAGGTAAGAGAAATAGATTCAATTTTCTTATAAAAACTCAAGGCCTGATATGTTTACCTGTTTATTTAGTCAGTGTGGGAGGGTGGAAGTCTTGTTTAGGAATAGATCGGGGTAACAAGAAATTCTTCACTGTGAAGGTGGTGGTGAGGCACTTGAACAGGTTGCCCAGAGAAGCTGTGGATATCCCATCCCTGTAAGTGTTCTGGGTCATGCTGGATGAGGTTTTGAGCAACTTGGTCTAGTGGAAGATGTCCTTGCCTGTGGTGTTGGGAGTATCTTCCAACCCAAGCCATCCTATTGTTCTCTGAATATTTAGACTTTACAGGACCATGGGACTGATACAGATTGCTTAAGTTAGCAGGCTGACTATCAGTTACCGAAGCACAAGGGAATATTAGTTTCCATAAAAAACTCTTTATCTATGTTTTCCCACACTCTGTGCTTTCTAGGAAAATGCTTGTGCTCGCTGTATGCTTAAAGCCTGCATTTGCTGCCTTTGGTGTCTAGAGAAGTGCCTGACATATTTAAATCAGGTAAGATTTTCCATATTTACGTTTTATGTAAGGGCCAATATTAGTATATATATATATATATATATATTCCCAGAGTGCAATCTGATGCCGACACATAGTGTATTGTACTTTGGAACTGAACTTGAATGACAGAACTTCAGTCTTGTCTCCATTACTGAAATTACACTGCAAATCATTACATCTTTGGAATATAATTAAAAACTAAAAAATAGCCCATATTGATTTTGTGAACATGGTTTCTCAACTTTATAACAATTCAGTGGTTTAATGGAGGCATTCCCTCTTAGGTCTACTCAGTCAAACTACATCTGAGTTTCAAATATTTTTGCTATGAAAAGAGAATTAAGTTTTTCTATGTGTAACATTTAAGATTCTCACAGTGTAAAAACTATACAAAACATCAAATTGTCATCATCATCTACAAAGGACAAAAAGAGTTGCAAAGTGCAACTCACTGGCTGGTACTTGTAAAAGACCCATTGTAAAAGTCGGTTTATGGGCCATAAATATCACATAAATAATTATCAGATACATAAATATCTTGTACATAATATCTCTTTCACTGTTGTTAATTTTTTTTTACTGATGGAAATGTAGAGAATAAAATTGTAAGAAAGCATTTTAAACGCCCCAATGTAATCCTTGAAAACTGTCCTCACTAACCTTGAATGCAGTCTAGTTAAGTATTTAGAAATTATCTTGGTTGACTTGTATGGCATTCAGATTCTTTTATATTTCCAGATTGGTTTTTTTGGAACTATTTAATTTCTGTAGCTATGCTACTGTTCACCTCCTCCTGCAGAGGAATTGCAAATTCTGTTTAATGAGTTTTTTTGAACAAACTTGTTAATGCATAAATTATGAGGAAGAGAGGAGAAGAATAGTAATTCTTTACCTCATATAATCTTCTGTCAGCTGGTTCATATTGTTTGATTCAACAACTCTCAAGGGAATTTTTGTTCATTAAAATCATATGACGAATGTGTCTTACTCAAAGCTGTATCTTCCCCTTCACCTTCCCCACCCTCCATCTGAAATGCCTGATCATTCTATGAATAAATCTTCAATCTCCTTTTCTCAGAATGCGTATACAGCCACAGCTATCAACAGCACCAATTTCTGCACCTCAGCAAAGGATGCCTTTGTTATCCTAGTGGAAAACGCTTTGCGAGTGGCTGCCATAAACACAGTTGGGGATTTTATGCTGTTTCTAGGAAAGGTATGTCTGCTGCATACAGCTGTTACAGATCTATGTAGGAGCAATCTCTCTTTAGCAGTGGCTTGAACCCTAATTCAAAATACCTTAAAAGTCCTGTTTCTTGGTATGCACGTCATCACATCTAGCTGCATCATGTTAGGAAGGGACCATCCACTATAGGGAGCATAAACAGATGATCCACTTTAATTTAGTAGAAGTGACTAGAGAGGAATAGCTGAAGTTTATGACACTTTTTGCATTTTTTAGGGAGTCAAGAGAAAAGTGATTAAAAAGTCTAAGGTTTTGATTTTGTAATTAAGACAAAGAATTGTAAGGAAAGGAAGTTGTTCTTTTAAATTCTGTGTAGTATGGAGTTTCTAGGTTTATGTTGAAAATTTGACACATTAGTGATCACCTTTTAAGACAAAATCAGACTGGAAGAGTACAGAAGCCTGCTATGAGGAACTGCAAGTTTAAGCTACTAAGTTAGTTCTACTCTGAGAATGAAAAGACCAGAATAATTTCTGTGATCAGTCAGCCTTTTGGATTTCCAGCTAATGGAGATACACTTTAATCCAGTGAATTATTTCTATCCTTTGAAGTGCCATAATTTACTGAAACAATTAATACCAGATTATTTATCTGGACACTGGTTGGACTGATCTGTATTCTGTATTGCATTCCTCTACTGTTAAATCAGAAGTTCAGCAGGCTGGACCTTGTATCCTGTAATTAAGTGAGTAAGCTGTGAGAAGAAATAAATGCATAGGGGAGATATAGGTGCTTTGGAGAACCTGAAATTACATCACAAAGTTTTTCTGGAGAATCTGAAAAGTGTTAGGAAACACCTCCTGAAAAGACATCTCAGATTATTAGAAAAATGTTCAGGTGACAGACATGTTGAAATGAACAGTGCACATAAAAATCAGTATCAGCTCAAATAATGCTCCACTATCAGCATCTTCTCTAGCAGTTCAATGTGATGTTTTCGTAAAAGCTGACCTATTTTATGATTATTGCAACTATTTATGAAAAGCAACTATTGTTTAGTTGCTTTTCATAATAATACTCTCAGAAATATTGAAAAAATTACTTGGCACCACCAATTTAGTCTTTTTGGTTTTGTCAAAACCAGACTGATACCCAGTGGAATGTCTGTTACAGGCTCATACATAGTGTAGTTCTGTAGAGACTGTTACATGAAGTGCCTCATGTGAGCTCTGATCTGCTTTCTCCTGGATGGAGAAGACATAGATATTAAACAAGCTTGGAAATTGTTTCCACTAGCAAAATGAAAAATATACCATTCTCCTAATACCTAACTTCTGCCTCCATCCCAAATAAAAAAACAACTGCATGTTAGTTGATGCATGGCATTTGATTGTGGGGTTTATATAATTGACAGGACAAAGTTCCTTTTTACAGGAATATTGTGTAACACTAGAATGATGACAGCAGAATATAAATGTAATTTTCTCTGAAAAATACTCTTTGTGATGAAGAATGTGTAACAATTGACTTAAACCTGCTGAAAAATGAATTAAATGTCTTTTATCCTCAGGGACATGGGGAATCCAGGAGGTAAAGCTCTTGTTACCTACTGTCTGTTACCTCTAGTTCTAACCTTGGCAGACCAAGAAGCATACTGCCTTAACACAAACAAACCAAACAAAAAATTTCAAAAGGCTTCTGCCATTAGAGTTGTCTACCATTTTCTTCTTCAGGTCCTGATTGTCTGCAGCACAGGTTTGGCTGGCATTATGTTGCTGAATTACCAACGAGATTACACCATCTGGGTGCTGCCACTCATCATTGTCTGCCTCTTTGCATTCCTGGTTGCTCACTGCTTCCTTTCCATTTATGAAATGGTTGTTGATGTCCTTTTCTTATGTTTTGCCATCGATACAAAATACAATGATGGTAGCCCTGGCAGGGAATTCTACATGGATAAAGTTCTCATGGTAAGTTTTCTCTTACTCTCAAAGTGTAAGGATCTGGTTCCATAAAATAGGTATTTTGACAATGGAATGAATGCAGTAGCTGAGTTCAATATGGGGTTTTTTTGGTAATTTTTTTGCCTTGCCATCTTGTTCATGGCTTGATCAAGAAACAGTGTCATGTGATAAGCATCAAGTAAGTAATGATGCTTCCTTCCCATGGTATTGGCTTCTGTTTGCTAGCTATTGGATGAGCAGTGATCTCACAGATTCATACTCTTGGATATCATGTCTTGTAAATTACACAGTGCAGAATAGAAAGAAACAAAACAAAGGAAGAAAGCTTGGGGTTTTTTTACTTTCCCAAGAAGGACTTGTCTTTGGATATGAGAGAGGAAAAATATCAGAGTATTTTACCTCATGCATAGATAGTGATCACAGTGGAGTTTTGATATAGGCATCAACCAGAATTGGCTCTGTCACACCTAGAAATACCAGGCTTTATGTCCTATCCTGGAGCCTACTTTGTCAAGGCCTTTTGCAAGTCCGATTCATTTTGTCTATTTTTGTCCATGTTATTCTCTGTTCACTATAACTAGAAACCAAGATATAAAAAATCTGCTTGTCAAACCTCTCACTTTCTTGTTGTATAGGAAATTTCTTGTCAGTGTTTTTAAGTGGCAGGTGTAGAATATGTCTCTGTAAAATGTACCCTTGTGTAGGCTAGAGGAAGATTCTCATGACTTCTTAGCAATTTTTTTTTTTGGTGGGAAAATCATGCCAAGAGTTTAGTGCTAAATTTTTGTAAACCTCTATGGAATGTAGAATAAATAAATCAGCTGCTGATAAGTTGCTTTTTAACAGAGTAAGAGTAAAATGCAGCAAGTTCTGTCAAAAGCAAGCATTGATAGATTGTAAAAGCGTTGTGGGTTTCTTTAGTCAACAGTCAATATCACAAAACCTCAGCAGCTAAAGTTTACTGACATGTTCTGCAGAATTCTTGCCTTTAAGAGAAAAATATTGCTTAACATTTTATAGCACATTTTCTAATCTGCATGAAAAGGAGATTGTGATTTTGTGAAAAATGTAAGAGGTTGAATTAAGGACAGTTAGGGAAATCAGCCAAATCTTGCAAGTAATTATCTTTAACTCCCTTTGTTTAATGTAGTTCTAACATTCGGCACAGAATAAATGAGATTCTGATTTGTTTGGGGTATTTGTTGTGGATTTTTTTTGTTTGGTTTTGACCTTTTTTTTTTTTTTTTTTGAAAATCAGCCTTTTACTTTCTTTCCCCATAAAGGAGAGCATTGCAGGGTAAATATGAAAGTTGTTAGAGCACAAAAGGCAGACATCTGTCTGGCTTCCAGAATTAAGTGAGGCTGACCTTTGTGGTTATTTGGAAGGCTTTTTTGATACCTTGTGGTCCAGTCTAAGCAAGAGAAGTGGGAGATGCAAATTAGCTAGATATTTTGAGTAGTTACATCTTGAAGTTTCTGTCTTGAGATTTAATGTTTGGAGTCTGCTCTGTGAAAGCACTTGTGTTTTCATTACTGTTTTTCAGGAGTTTGTGGAGAACAGTAAGAAATCTATGAAAGAAGCTGGCCGGGGAGGTGGAGCTGAGGGCAGAGAGCTAAAACCAATGGTAGGTGCAGATGAGGAGGTGGCGATCCTCCAAGAGTTTCACTTTTACTTCTTCTCCCTCTTTGTCTTTACTGACTGCACTTCTTCAGGAGAAGTTTTTGTTCTCTGTATCACTCAAGATGTTCTGCTTTTTCTGTTTGTGAGCTTGCCTATCACCTGGATGGCAGAGTTTTTGTCACAGCTGAGACCATCTCCTGTAAAAGTAAGATGAAAGGAACTGTCTCATATGCAACAAATGCAGTGTCATTTCATTAGGATTACTGGTGCATGCCATGTGGTATATGCAGACAGCCCCAGATGCTGAACAGTCTAAAAATAAGATGGTTCTGAGATTCTATGGGCTCTTCTCAGCCCTGAGATGAACAATTTTTGCTCATCTTATATTCACTGCAAAAGCCTGAAATGAAGAACACTTACTGCGTGCATCAATTGTTGCAAAGTAAGACCAGGTATTCAAAGCCCTCACCAAATTATCTTACACAGTGCCAAGGAATTGGATACAGTGATTCCTTTCAACCTGCTCAAATGACATTTCTCCCAGTTGTTTGTTTTATTGCCAACTACTTATGTTGCTTGTCTCTTGTGTGCTCTTTCCATCTCACACTGTCAGATGCACAGACAGTGAACAATGCATCATTTATGCTTCTGCAGCCTGTTTTACTTATGGTGTGCCTGTTAGGAAGGCATTGCATGTCTGAGTAGCCTGGAATAAGAACACTATACATGGTACAGATAACAGATAGGAGGATAAGTTTGGAAGGTGGAGAACAGAGGGCGTATAACAGAGAGCCAGGCTGGGCAAGGTATGATTTGTCATTGTACATTATGACTTTGTGAAACAAAATATTTTTCCATTATCACTTTCTCAGAGTGTTTGGGGTCTTATTCATTTCCGTACCATGGGGATCATTTTTTAACCAAATGGAATCTAAATAAGTGTATGCTAACAGAAGAATTTATTTTTCCAACAATGTATGTGAAGCCATGTTGCATGAGCATTTTTTTACTAAGCTGGAATGGGTTCCTGCTATAGACTGGATAGATGTGTAGCTTTGCGTGTTTTGCTATTTCATTGTGGCATACCAGTTTCTAGATTTGCTTATGCCTAAATGCTGCTGTGTTTATACATATAAAAAACTAATTCTATGCTCATTTACTGTTTTCTTCTGGGAGTAATTCTAGCTGGTCAAGCAGACATTAACGTTGGGATTTTCAGAGCGAGCTAATTGTTGTAAATGCAAATGTGCCATGAAAATAATTGAGAATTGGGTGTGCAAACTCTCTAGTAATATGCACAAAAAATTCAGTTCAAAATTATGTTAAACTCTGTTTCAAAGAATTGGTTTATCTTAAGTGGTTTTCCACTTACACTGTTGTCAGAGCTGACACCGACTGCTACTTACAATTTTGTACTTGACTGCCTGAATCTTGGATGTTAAAAAACTTTATTCAGCCTCACCCCTTGTAGAATTGCAAACCAAGGGTGGTTTTATTCTTAGAGGAAATTTTTTATGGACTCTTAGCCTGGTGCTGGCTGAAAGTCCTCTTAGGATGGCTTGGAGATGCTGAGCACTTCAGGCTCAGAGTGGAAGTCTCCTGCTGAATTACTCCCAATTCTGCTGCTTATGTGATTGTCTTTGTTTGGAACTGTTTGGGCCTTGTGGTTTTCCATTTTTGGGCATTCAGCTCCAGTTGATTTGATTATGAAATACTAGGATCTCACTTCCTGATCACAAGGGGACACAGCAGTTAAATTTCTGAGACCTTTCCCCAAAGTACAGGGCCTCAGTTATAGCTATAATAGGATCATTATAAGTCTACTGTGTAATGGTAGTGCCCATAGTCCCAAAATTGCATGTCTGAAAAATAGATCGACACTACTTTTTTCTCTTTTTTTACAGAGTCTTTACTGCTTTGCTTCAGTTTCCTTGAAAAGCAGATATTTCTTAGATATGACAATTATTTCTTCAAGTGAAATGCCCTAAAGTGCAGCTGTATTTAAAATAGATATTAGTAGCAGAGATGAGAAAACACTTTAGGAAGTTCTGTTCTTGTATCAGGGCACAACAAAAAACCCCACCTTTTCACGCTTTTTTCTTTATGGCTTCCAGTGACCCCTTTGACTCAATTTCTCCTTGTCCTTTGGCATCTGTCTAAGACTGTACTGTATGACTTTGTTTTCTAGGCCTCTGGAGCAAGTTCATCTTGAAACTAGCCAGCCATATTGGAACCCATTGACATTCCAAAACAGTATATATATACATATATACATACATACATATATATATATATATATATAAATAAACAGCCAAAATCAGAGAAAAGGAACAGGGATTTAAAACTTTTTTTAACAATTATTTTTGTGAAACATGTACTCTTTTCATACGGGTGGCTTTTACAAGCAGCTTTATCATTGTTCCATTTCTTAAGTTATTTGTTGTGGTCATGGAAATGTTGATTCTTATCTGCTTGATATTTTAAAATCTGGAAGAAGTATCATTGTAAAGATAATCTGAAATCATGACTGGGTTTAGAGACAGATTTCCCATGACACTGCTAATCTGCTGAGAGTTTTACTTGTTTAATTTCTTTAAAATTTTCATTAAATTCAGGACAGTGACATGTACAGAAAACCTTACATCAAGAAAAGTTTCGAGTTTATTTTTTCAAGAGGTTGTTTCAGCAAAAATTTGTTCCGTTGAAATGTGTTTGTAAGCAGTTATTTTACTTTACAGCCCTGGCAGGGCACAGTTCTGTTTACCAGTATCAGATATCACAATAACCAACTCCTCAGGTATTTAGGTGTGTGGGAGCCCTTGCATCTCCTATTAAACAGAACCTACAAAATGGGGACAGATAATTTTTATATGCAATTAACTTCCTGCTTACCCTACTTTTACCCCTCATACCCATTGCCCTCTATCCTCCCCCTGAGTTCAGTAGCCTCCTTCACACTTCAGCATTGTTTGTTTGAAGGGTATGGATTCTCCATACAGGCAAGTGAAATAACAGATTTTTAAAGCTCAGTCTTAGCCATACTCATGATTAATTCATGACTAGATACAAAGATGCTGAGGATGGGAAGAGAAATGAATTGTACTGCTGTACATAAAAAAGTACTGTATGCTTCATTTCATCTAATGAGAGAGCTCTGGGAGGTAAAAAGGATCATTCCTTGCCTGTTGCTTGATCCATATTTGTACATACTGTAGTGAGTGGCTAAAGCCAGAAAGGGCAGAGAAACATTCCTTTGGAAGTGTAGCTCCCAGGATAGTTATCTGAAATTATTAAAGAGAACATGCTGCTTTATTATTATTATATACATAATATACATAAATATCTCTTCAGTCTGGAAGTTCACCAGATATGAATGCTAATATTCAATTATTCAGCATAGTGAATTGGTAAATGCATAACTGTATTTGCTAAGAATTTATGATCCGTCTATGCTATATATTCCTTTTGTTAACATTTTTTTAAGAAAACTATTTTTGTTATTGTAAAATTAATATTTCAGAGCAGAATTTTTAAACTTATTGCACTAAATACAAGCTGTCTACAAATAATGATGCCTCAATGGTTCAATCACTCCATTCCAGAAAATCTTTTGAAAGAGTAAGAGCCTTTCTACAGAAGCTTTATGATGGAGTAGAGAGGTATGTCTAGGTAAAGACATGCACAACTTGTGTAATCAAGGTTTAGTAAGTAAGCAGTTAACTGTGCTTCCTTTCAGACTATACCAGACTTCTAAATTGCTGCTGAAGGTTTAAATAATTATTTAGTGTCATTTAGCTAACTAGTGCTCTTATCTTTTTTGGCAATAGTAAAATGTTTCACTTTTGCTTCCAGAAGTCATTTGATAACTTAAATTTGTTACTTTTTTTCCCTGTAAGCCAGTTAAAACAATTTACACTTTTCATATCACAGAACCCAAACTATTTGAATGGTACAAAAATAAAGATACATTCAGAAAGGATAGCTGTTGGGGAGGCAAAGAGACTTCTCCAGTCCTGGAAGCACTTACTCATTTAAGTGAACCATATCTAGCATCAGCAGAGCTCTCTAAGTATGAAAATTGCAACATACACATCTGTGTAAGTGCTGACTGGATTAGAGCTTCAGCCTAGGGATCCAAACTGGAGCACAGATGAGGCCTCTCTGTGCAAGTTAGAGGTCAGACTTCCCCAGAAGAAGCATTGGAGCAGCTTTACTTTTGTGGAGAGGAGACATTCCTGCAGTACCAGTGTCTAAGACAGCAGTGGTACTCAGCACCAGATCAGAGGGATTTAGCAACACAAATTTAAAAACTAGCTTAGATGAATTCTAGAAACTGATTTTCAAGACTAAAAGACTTACCAAGTACCCAGTTGCTTCCAGAGAATCTAGTTTTAATCTTGTTTGGCGGTTATTGGAAGTGCTTAATCAAAGAAGCCTTGTATTCTGCTCATTTTGATAAGAAAATTCTGCCATGACTGGTTCCACAAGTTTGTGTTCTCCACTCACTGGATGTTCTGAGTGGGAACTGTACTCTGTAATTGCAACTAGGACTGCAATTGGTAACAAATTTTGTATTTTTGTATTACTTGACTGTGCACCATTTTTATAGCAGTTTATCCTGTCTTAAAAATAAATTTGTTTATTTACATGGTGTTTAAAAGATACAGGCAACACTTTTCTATGGGTAGTTATAATGTTTAAGTGAGAAACCTGTATCATTACAAAGTTCTTAATAAAAACATGTGCACCATTCTTGAGTGTATATCCAGCATGCAGAGCTTTTCAGTCTTGACAAAAAGGCATTCCATCCACACACATGCTTTCCAGTGGCCCCTTAAAGCTTTTGAATGCCCGTTGAAGTTCATTTGCAACCAAACTCTTCCAGCTCTGTCTTGTGCACAGAGATAAGCAGAAGTAAGAATTCTGAAAAGATAACTTTTCAGGACAAATTTAGACTGCTTTCCTTTCCTAGTGGGGATAGTGGAGTGGGAGGACATTTTGGCATGTAAATACCATACATAAATTTTGGCACTAGGGGTGCTGGGGTCTGCCAGCTGTGAGGGATTAAATACTTCTTTTGACTGTTGGTTATTAAAGCCAGTGTATGGTCTGCTTTGTGGGAAGCAGTCTAGATTAAGTAGAGAGTGATGCTGCACTGAGAATAACAATGCAGGAGGAGCAGATGAGACAGCTAAAATAGAGAAATCATCTCCTCAGAAAGTCCATTGAATTGAGTAGTGCTAAAAGACTGGAGATTTAGGCTGGACAATTTGGGTTTAGAAACAATCATTGATATTACTGCTTCCCAGCATTTGGTTTCTGCATCATGGCCTCTGACCAGTTAAGTTTCAAACAGAAAAAACATACCAATCCTTAAATTGTTAATTTTTTTCCCACATTATTTTTTCTGTTTGGAAGTTGAACAGTACCATGTCATCTTTACTGCTTCTTCCAGCCTTAGAGAATGTTTTTTATTGTTGTTCTTCTGGGTCTCATTTCTATATTGCTCTCTGAGTAAAAGAGTGGCAAGTGGCATAGTGTCAGCTCCCCTTTGTCCCTTGATCTTACCACATTCCCTTTTACCTTCTCGAGGCAGTGATTCAGGATATTACCTGTAGTGAATGAGAGGGAGAGTATGTGCTAAACTAAAGTTCTGAGGTAGAACTTTTTTCTTTTTTTGTCTGGTATTACTCCATCACTGTGGTTAGAAGTGGAGCCAATCACGTCTAGAGTTTCACTGCTGCTCCAGAGCTAGACTTAACACATAGAATGGCCAGCTTAGATTTGCATCTTCAGCTTTCCATGAGCTCCCAGTGCCAGAACCAGGATGGGCTTCATTTACATTGGCATAGTAAATGAAGGACTTTTTGCATTTGGAAAGTGTTTTCTGTAAGGGAGACACAGCAGTGGAAAATGCAGTTAAATGTTGTGGTGGGTTGACCATGGCTGTCACATACACTGCTACTCTGTTGCTTGCTCAGGATGGGAGAGAGCAGTGAAAGGACAAAAATACTGATCTAAGTGCAGTTATAAGCAAATAAGGAAAAAAAACATAACAAAACAAAAACAAGGGCAATCATTTACCAGCAGATCAATGCCCAGCCAATCTCCAAGCAGCAGCTGCTTGTGAACTACACCCACCCCAGTCTGATTGCTGAGTGTTACATTACATGGTGTGGAATATTTCTTCAGTCTGTTCAGGTCAGCTGTCCTGGTTGTGTGTCCTCTCATCCTTTTGCCTAACCCCAAACGACTGCAGGGGTCATAGAGTGGAAAATAGAGAAGGCCGTGACCCTGTGCAAGCGCTGCTCAGTAGCAGGTAAAGCTTTGTGTTAGCAGCACTGTTGCAGATCTAAAACACAGCATCTTGCAGGTTGCTGACCGTCCAGTCTAACCCAGTACACAGGCCCACCTACCCAGTAATTAATCCAAGACTTGCTCCCTGCATTTCTGTACAGCATCTTCTCAGGGTGGTTACTTCTTTTCTGAAAGGGCTTTTTTTGCAGCAGGCAATTAGCCTGCTCCACAGTGCTCCCTTTCATGGAGGGAGCAGGGGATGTTAGCTCTTACTCTTTCAGCACATAATGGGGATATAAAGCAAAAACGAGCCCTTTCTGTATCAGTATTCTGGCAATTGAGCAGCCAGTGTTGGAAACAATATACTTAATGTGCCCTCAGGGCATGCACTTTAGTGGTTTGCTCTTGAGTGGTTATGATGTATTCTATGAATGTATGTTATGGAGTCAGAATAAAATGCATGTAGCAGACATATACTCATCACCATCTAGTGAGCATTTAGTTCAGAGTGCATATTACATGCTATATTGAATATGGCACAGTCGTTTTAAGAAACAATTTTAAGATTTATAAGTAGATACCTTACAGCATTCCTGTTTTTAAAATCATGACTTGGCCTGTGCAGATACCATTTACTAAATCTAACTATCACTAGCCCATTGTTTCTTGAACAGCTTGTGTCACATTATCAACACAGAAATTCTATTTCATCTTTGTGAAAAAACCAAAAAGATGACAAAACAACCCTTGTGTTTCCCAACACAAAACCCAACAGGCTTATCTGAAGCATTTCTTACCCTCAGCTTCTTTGTTGGGATGATGAAAGTTTACTTTAAATATTTCACTTTCAAATGCTCTTCCAACTATTTAGTCTCTGCTGTTATTCCCACCATGTAACAAGATTATGGAGACTAGTAAATCTGTATTTCTTGTGTTCTGTAGCAAATACTGTTTTCAAGGTATTTTTTTCTTTTATATTTAAAGAGATGAGAGAAAAGATGAAACTCATCTCCTGTGATGTGGGTTATGTATAAAAGGCAAAATTTCTGGTCTTGGATGGAGCTGTGATGAGTCTTGCAATCTGATACAATCAAGCCAAAGCTCCTCAGAGACCAGGATTATGAAAATATTTCTAAAGAGAACTGGTAGCATGAATGGATCTGAAAATACCCATTTGAGGGTTAAATTATCTGGCATTCATTGGAAAGACATCTGTTAAAATATAACTAGCAGAAAACCAGCAAATGCCCATCAGATTCTACTCCCCTGTCTTACTGAGTTCAAGTCATCATATTTGAATATGATGACCAGAATTGGTGTAATAAGCATTTGGTACTTCTCTACAGAAACTCCCTTTAGAACCAAAGTTCCAAGAATTCAGAGTAAAAGTACCAGCTGACTTTAACAGAACTAGCCTAATTTCAGTTATGTTAAAGACAGCTATGGCCTCTCTAAGTATGTGATTTATAAGCAGATACCTAACAGCATTCCTGTTTTATGCTGGCAGCATAGGTGGATACCATTCCTTAAGTGTACCACCTCTCCTCTTTGGGTTAGTGGGAATTAGGGGCAGTTTATTTCAAAAAGCTATGGTGAAATTAGGAAACTGACTAGTTTTGAAACCCAGCAGAAGTTGTGCACTGACTGGAGTTACTGCTATAAATATGTTTTTTAACTCAAATACCATGTGTCCTCCATGTTAGTATTAGTTGGGTCCCTCCCTGCTGCTCAGTCTGAAACAGGAGAGTATCTCTCATTTGAAAAACAGCAGCACCAACAATCTTATAATGTCTCCCAGGGGAGTGAGGGAAGAAAAAACAGAAAGGTGGTTTTATTTCTAATGTAGGACAGAAAAGCTGCCAGAAGTTAGGTGGAGCCACGGAGAGCAGATAAAAAATATTCCACAGGATCTTCACAGTAGTTAAGAAAATTCACATTCCAATTCAGACATTTCACAGCAACATCTCCCGTGTCCCACTTTAATTTTACTCTGGAGCTCTTCAGAGCAAAATGAAAGTGGAATACTATCCCTATAGAAAATAATTATTTCTATATAATGGATTGTGTTGCTGATTACAGAAACTACTCTAAGGAAAAAGGAAAATCTTCTGAACAGATTTTAAAGGCTTGACAGTACTTGCATTGTCATAGTCCATCAAAGCTTCATCTGGAAACGAATTTTTCATCCTCCTTTACTCATACTTCTAACAGGGCAATCAAACCCCTGGACTGGCTTAGTGATTTACATTGAATCAAGATCAACTAACAAGTGCTCCTTTTTCCAGTGGAATGCCACCTCCTTTGAGAATGGGAAAAGTAAATGTGACACTGTTCATTGTTGTCTTGAGAACTTAAACTATTTTATACTGCAAGCTGTGAATGCAGGAAGAGAAAAGAAATTAACAGTGCTGATCTAATCTTAGATTTTCTGTGTAAACTGACATTGTGCCAGGATACTGATGCAAAACTGTATTTTAGTCTAAGAAATGTATAGATTTTTTAATGTATCAAAATAAAGTTTTCCTTTTAAGTAAGAAAGAAATTTCTGTATCATCCATGTGGTGTGTGTAAGCCATGCTCTCTTACTCAATACAATACAATCTCATGTTCCTGAGAAGCAAGTCAAATTTTTGCTGAAGTTTTACTTTGTTCTGTGCCTGCTCTTTAGCTGAGTAGCTGCAGTTATACTGGACATACTGTCCTGGTGCCAAGAAAAGCATTCTGATGGTAATGTTTTCTGAGATG